CACTAGGAAGAATGTATGCAATGTGTTAATTATTGAAACTGTCCTACCAATTTGGTTTGAAACTGTCTCATTGCTATTTGTTTCTCAATAAAATTATGGGGAAAAAAAGAATATTGTTCTCTTAAGAATATTGTTCTAGCTCTCTACGACAGTGTCAGGCATAGTCATGTGGGTTAAATGAATGACTCTGACCTGCAGTGAGCACTCATCTCAGGAAATGGGTCCGCATGTACCTCCTGCCATGTGGACTTAGCGGTGTCTGGTTGTGTGCGGGCATGTCCTGGATTGCATGTGTGTGTATGCTGGGAAGACAGGCATGCTGACGAGGCCAGCAGTATCAGAGAGTACCAGAATGCATGGTGGTTATTGATTTCCAGACTACTGCTTCTCCATCCTGCAAGACACAGTGGTGGACTAGACAGGAGCAGATGAAAATAGAAGCAGTAGAAGAGTACATCCCTGGACAAGAAGGCGGAGAGGAGGTTTAGTAACATAGAAGTGTGAAATAGCTGGGAGCACAAACTTTCAGAATGATCAAAGGGAGGATTGTAAGAACCACTTGGAGACAGGTGGGAGACTACAGGAATAAAGAGAGTGACACTATGGGTAGAAACTAACTGGGACTATTCAGAATGACAGGCCTGGCAAATCACCCCCCAACAGAAGTCTTAGAGTCCACTGGAAATAATTTGTATATACTTGTCATAAGATTATAAAAGGCAGTTCTTCAGTCTCCCTGATATGGATGAGTGACTGATTCACTGACTCTGTCCCTAAGATTGGCCTGAAGTTGAGGGTGGATAGCTGCTCTGGCTGGGCCTGGAAGCAATCAGCAATAGAGCACCTCAGGGCAGTCTGTAAGGCTCCATCGGACCAGGTTGTCCTAGTGATGCCGCTGGACTCTTCTGCCAGCAGAGACACTGTTCTCACCTCAGCACCAGCACCCCCAGTAAACACAGGATGTCATAAAAGAGATAAGGGGGAGCAAAGCATTTTCCGAAGCACTCAGACATTTGAAGACAGACACCCAAACATTCAAACAGGATGCCTCAAGGACTTGGCTCACTGAGGCACAGACATCCAGAGAATGTTCACCACTGAGATTTACTAAGATCTCCCCACCTAATATCCCTCACTTTCTTTCAAGCCCTATTTATTTCATTTTTTTTATTTTTTATTTTTTGTGATACAGGGTTTCGCTACACAGCTCAGACTCGTAGTGGTCCTCCTGACTCAGCCTCCCCAGTGCTGGCATTATAGGCATGTACCACAATGCCTGGTTTCGGTGACCAGCACGGCATGCAGTACCGGGAAAGTACCACAGCTACCACTCTCAAAGCAGAAGACAGATTTCCCCAGTACCCCTGGTGAATCCCCCCTGGCACCAGTGAGCAATGGAGTGCTAACCAAAAGGACAGCTGGATTCCTTTCTGAAGACAGAGCTCTGATTGCGAAGAACTAGTGAAAACTCAAATGCTGGGTCATGGACGGGGCAGCTCTCCAGTTCTAAGGGACTGCAAGATCCCTCAGCAGACACTAGCTCCTGCCAACCGCGAATCAGCAGACGATCTCAAGCCCTATTTTGAAGAGCCCACTCGTCTTTGTTCCTTGTAGATGGCCCTTGTGCCTTCTGTCTGCCTGTACCCACATGTTGCCTTTATACAAGCCTAGTGATCTCTGCTGGTCTCTGCCTCTTGCTGTCTCTCCCAAGACCTGGGAGGTAGATGAGCTCTCTCTGGGGCTTTTAATGCTCTTGAACCTCCAGGCCAGCTGAGACCACCTGGCTGGGCCCCTACAGCTCCTGCAGCTTCTGCCCTGCTAGGCCTTGCCTGGCATTTCAGATCTGGTAAGACCCAGTCTTGCTCTCTCCCTCTTTTTTCCTCCTTGCCTAGCTTTTATTCCCCCCATAAAGTCAGGGAGAGGTTCTCTGTGCTTTTCATGCTTTTTAAATTCCAGCACTGGGGACTGATGAGATGGCTCAGTGGTCTAAAGCACCTACTTAGAACAAGCTTAACAAAGCAGAGGGACCGCGGTTCAAACTCCCAGCACCACATGCCAGCCAGCCCTGCCCCCTGGTGGGCTGAGCTGGTCACACACACATACACACATAAATAGATAGATAGATAGATAAATAAATAAATAAATAAAAATAAATTCCAGCACTGGTCTTGAAAAACATTTCTGACAAGGCTGCTTCCCTTTAGTGTCTGACCAGCTGCACAGATGTTTGCTTTGCTCAGTTACTCACATTTACGGCCTTGGGTCACGATCAGAGATGTCCACCAGAGCTCTGGCCATTCGCCCACCCCTCTTTCTGTACTCCAAGGGGAACCCTCCATCCCACCCATCTTCCACCCCTCTGCCCTCATCTCTGCTAGCCCATAGCCTGCAGAATCTCAGACCTCACTATCTCTCTCCTCATCAAACCAAATAGTTGATCTTTTTCTGTAACACAACATGGCTACATCTCCCAATAGACAATGGATCTCAGTGACCAGAGGGCGATATTTTTGATTTTTTTCATTTTGCAAAATAACAAATAATTAAAAGGAGATAAGAATTTGCATTTCTTTCTTGATTGCTGAATTATATTTTTTTCAAAAAATTTTAAATGTATTTAGTACAGAGTCTACAGGGTCTCACTACACAGATTGGACTCACAGTGATCCTCCTGTTTACACCTCTCAAGAGCTGGGATTATAGCAGCACACTACCATGCCAAATCTCAAATCTCAATCGCTGTCTCAGTGCACCCTGCAGGCAGGGCCGGCACAGCACACCAGGAATCAAACCTGGTCACCGCTCCTGCCTAAGTAGGAGTTTTAGTCCACTGAGATTACTAAATTATATTAATCATAATTATCACTTTTATGTGCCACTGTTTGCTCCTTTTGTAAATTACTTTATAGGGGGCCAGGGAGATGGCTCAGTAGAATAAGCGCTTGCCTGGCAAGTGCAAGGTCCTGAGTTCAAACCCTGATACCGAAAAAAACCCAAAAAGCTTGGGCCAGCCAAACAGTTCAGCAGATTAAAGCGCCTGTTTAGGCAGAAGCAGGGGTCAGAGTTCGACGGCCCCCCCCCCCCAGGGTGTGTTGAGAGGGTAATTAAGACTGGGAGTGGTGGCAAGAGCCTGTAATCCCAGCACTTGGGAGGCTGTAAACAGGAGGATCACTACGAGTCCGATCTATGCAGTGAGACCCTGTACATCCTGTACATTCTGTCCTAAACACACAAAAAAATATAGTATGAAGAAAATTAATGTTAAAGCGCCATCTAGTGGACTTTGATACAATTCTGTAAAACGGGCCTTTTCATAAAACTTCCTCAATAATTCAGCTCGAGCTTTCATCTGTCCGTTATAGAATGCTCAAACCTAACAGTGGTCACTGTGCAGGCTAGTAATTACCTTTAGTGCAGCTGCCAGAGGACAGATTTCCCCAGCACCCCTGGTGAGTCTCCCCTGACATAGTGGACAATGGAACGCTGACCGGAAGGACAACTGGATTCCTTTCTCTGATTACGGGGAACTAGTGAAAAACGAAAGTACAAATGCTGGGTCATGGATGGGGCAGCTCTCCAGCCCCAAAGATCTCTCAGTAGACAACGCTCTCCTGCCAACCGCCAATCTCCACTTGTCTTCTGTGCTCCCCAAGAAAGGTGAAAGACTGTCTCAGAGTGACCTGGAATGATATGTCAGAGCCCTTTCTTAGGTCTTCTTCAAGGGACAAGCTACAGGTCTGGACTTTTCTCTACTAATAAGTTAGAAATCCTATTTTTCCCCCCTCATTTCTCTTCCTATTTTGCTATAAACAGAATACATTTAAAATCATTCTAAAATTCTCTCCACAGTCTCCACACAGATTGCAATTCCTTTTCCACAAAGCCTTCTGCTTGCTCAACCTAGTGTAAAAGCTTTCTGGTTTCGCAATGCCTCGAGTCTTCACTTCCTCTGGATTATATATGATAGCTGATTTTGGTTTTCGTGACAGAGTTCAGGAAATACCACCCCAAAATGTGTCATTTAGGCATGCTGACTACTTCATGCTGAACACTTTTTGGGAGCAGCAGACACGGGGGGCGGGGGGGGGAGGGACAAATCCCCCATGAGACGATGAAGAAGGAAAGGAGAGCCAGCCCAGGACAGATAGCACAGGCAGCTGGCTTGTGATGCCAAGGAGCCTTGTGCTGCTTGCCCTTTCCACCCCATCAGGGCAGAGGGGAAACCACAAACTAGAAGGATCTAAAAATACACGGTCAGGAGGCTTGTGAACCCCAGCAGGGTTGAGGACAAAACAGAAAGGTCTCTCCCCAGAGCGGTGAGCTGGCCCTCCCGGGCCTCCTGCTCTCCCACGGCCTGTGCTTGGCCACTGGGAGTTTCCTGGTTATTAATCTGTCCCTGTTGTTGCTGCTTTGAAAGAGGATGTTATTTCTGGGCTCTTCCTCACTTTACCCACAGAAGCATCCTCATTGGTCCTGATTCATTGGCCCCACCCACCTCATGAGTTTCGCTTTTGAATGTGCTGCAGGTTTACTTTTAGATTCCAGGAAGTGCAAACTGCCAGGACCCTCAACGAGCCACGGACCTCGCCCATCCAGGCCGGGGGCGGGGCGGGGGTCTGCGTCTGTGTGCGTGCGCGTGTGCGTGCGTGCGTGGAGAGCGCTGTTTCCTGGCAGCAGGACCCTCCCCCGCGGGAAAGGCGCGAGGATCTCTCCGGTCAAGGCGCTCGTCCTTTGTCTCCCTTCGTGTTCACCAGAACCCACACTGCATCCCAGAAGATCCAGAATATAAGGTGAGTGAGGTGCAGGGTGGAGGCCTGCGGCCTTCAAGGAGGACCCCAAGTGCCCAGTGGCCCCCAGAGAGGGGACCTAGTGTACCCCTGGGGAAAGTGGAGGGTTCAAGAAAGGGAGGCTGCAGGAGAAACCCCGTGTGGCCCCAAGACCCTGGTCCTGATTATAAGAGGAAAATGGCCAGTCTGGTAACTTTATTTACTGTTTTTTTTTTTTAAGTACAGTCATATCAAAAGAAAATTCACGGCACGGCCTACCGCGCCGGCCCGCCCCCCTGGTGCACCGAGCCTGAGACCGAGTCCCAGCGTGGTGGCTCACTGCTGTAATCCTAGTGCGGGGGAGGCTGAAAACAGGAGGATCACTACCAATCCGAGCTACGTAGTGAGACCGTGTAGCAAATACATTAAAAAAAAAAAAAAAAACACGAAAAAATTTCGCTGTATGAACTCTGCCCCTCCCCACCGCTCCCCTCCCCACCGCTCCCCTCCCATACAGCCTCCTATGGGTGGGTTTTAGTTGCTAGGAGGGCAAGGATGAGTTGGCAGAAGCCCCCGCTGTAGGTGACAAGGGGACAGAGGTGGGCATTTGTCTGCTGCCTCAGTTGTCAGGTTCTGAGCGCTAGACACAAGAGTTTCGAGCTACCGGTTGCACGGAGGCCTAATTCTCCACATCTTCTGCACTTTCCCTGTGTGCCCACAACCTGTATAGCTGCTGGATCCAGTTTCTGGCCAGGAAGGAAAGAGGAAGTTCACTGATTCGGAACTCAGCTACCTTCCCAGCCTCTCACTGGTTTCTTTTCCTCAGTTCAGAGAAGGGCCACAAAAGGAGGAAAACAGATATTAGCAGTGCCTTGGTTCCTTGTGTCCCCACCTGATTTGTGTTTCTGCTGTTGCTTTTGTAATGTCCTCTGGCCTGTGGTGGAGACCAGTTTGATCATCTGAATAGAGAATCCTCTTTTGACTTACTTTTCTCTCATTGCTGAGACAACAGAATGCCCAACATTTGCAAGGAAGAGGTTTACTTGGCTCACAGTATGTGGAAGTTTCAGAGGAAAAACAGTTCTTGGTAGGCAAAAGACAGCAAAAGCAACCAGGTAACAAGGGAGCCTCTTTTTGTTCTTTATTAATGTCTTACCTTTAATCCTAGCACCTTTAGCATTACACCATGAGTACTCAAGATCCAGCTTCCTGTGAAAAGCCTCACTTATAACTGACCCATGAGGCTTTGCAAAGGTCATCACAAGCCATACCATCCATTGACAAAGTGGCTGAGTGTTAGCACCAGGCAGAAAGAGTTAACTCTGGTACCAGTGGGTTCTGATGCTCATTAGAAGGGGAAGAAGTTTCACGCTGTCTCACTGACTGAAGAGTCTGGGAGGAGGCCTGGTCTCTGTCAGCACCGACCCTGGAGAACTTCACACCACAGTGGAATGCTGTGTGACTGGGCTGATCAGCCATGGGAGACAGTGGAACGTATGAAGTATCAGAAGCTAGCCAAGAAGGAAGCTAGACAGAGAAATGAAATTTTAAATTTTATTAAATACTCATTCACTTAAACTCAGATGTTCTCATTTGTCACGGCAGCCATATTAGAAAACACAGCTACTTGTTTGTTCATATTCTCAACACTGACTCATTTTTTCTTTCCAAAGAGAAGTCGGTAAGATCTGTGGAGGGCAGCAGCGACCACTTCCTGGTACACAGGCTTGTAAGAACTCTACTTCCATTCCTGTGGAATTGTTGGCTGCTTCATTGCCATCTGTAGATCTAACGTTGGAGCGTCTCAGCAAAAGTCATGGCCTCAGGCACTAAAACCAAGAGAATGAAAGAGATGGCAGCCTGCTCCATCTGTCTGAACCTGATGACAGAGCCAGTGAGCATCAGCTGTGGCCACAGCTACTGCCAGATATGCATGAAGATGTACCTTTCCCAGATACACAGAACTCAGGGGCAGATGACATCTTTCTGTCCTCTGTGTCGGGCCCCATTTCATATAGCCAGCTTGCGGTCCAACAAGCAGCTAGGAAATCTCATAGATCTCATCAAGGAGATGGAGGACTCGGAGAGTGGGCTGGTGTGTGAGGAACATGGAGAACAGTTCCAGCTCTTCTGTGAGGATGATGGCCAGCTCATCTGCTGGCGCTGTGAGCGGGCACCGCAGCACCAGGGGCACAGCACAGCACTGGTAGAGGATGTGTGCCAGGGCTACAAGGTATGTTCTCAGTGGGGCCTCAGCAGGGCGCACGCAGGGTCCAGCCATGCACTGTAGGAAAGAGCCAAGAGTACTGACCTTAAATCCTAAGAGGATGACCTATGCATGGTATTCTTTTGAAATGTACTATGGGATGGACCTTTGCTGAATTCACTCCATTCTGTCCATCAGATATTCAGCAGGATGGGCAGACTCCTGTTGCCATCCTGTCACCATGGCCTTCCTTCTGCTCTTGGACATGCTCAACCAAACACCTGCTTGTATTCCCAGTGCTTGGGAGACTGAAAAACAGGAGGATTAGTACAAGTTCAGTCTGTGTAGTGATACCTTGTAGACCCTGTACTAATACATTAAAAAAAAAAAAAAGAATCCCAGTCCCCCCTGCCTCCCATCTGTAAGCACTTGGGCAAATTACTCAAACCCTTCCAAGTCTCCTTTGCCACAGTGGAAAAAAGGAAACTGAAAATCCTACCATCTGCTGAGGGTTGCTGATTGGATCAGTGTTACTGATATACGGCCCCCAGCAGGCTCTCTAGCAAAGTGCAAAAATGCAATAAACATGCACCGTGATCTTTACACATCTTGAACTGCTGAGTCCTTTTAGAGTCTAATGAATAATCAAATTGAATAGACTTTCTTTGTCCAATTTCTCCCTCAGGAAAAGCTCCAGCATGCTTTGACAAAACTGAGTCAATTTGAAGCAGAATACATGAATCAGAAAACATTCATGGAAATAGAAATAACTAAATGGAAGGTGAGACTCTTGAGTTCATTGACCTCTAGTTATTTTTGATTTTAGGCAGAGGAGATGACAAAGCAGAATCCCAGTTTATTCTCAGTGTACCAGATTAGAAAGGTAAAGTGCAGTGTGCATGGTCTGGCTCTTGGCCTAATGGTGCAGAAGCCATCTTTGAGGACTTTCAGAAAACAGTCTCTCCAGGTTGGGTTCCTCAAGGCAGTAATGGAGAACTTGATTTCTAAAGCACATCAGAGTTGTTGCAAGAACTCAAACCCTTATCGCTGCCGGCTGAAGGCTTCCACACAATTTCCATGGTCCACCAGTCCCCACATTATTAGAGACATGTTCCTTTTGTGCAAGTACCCTTGGATTCCATGAGGTAGGAGTCCAAGTAAGCAGAGTAAGCCGCTCTACCTCTTCCAGGTTTTCTTGAACTTAGGCTTCTGGATAATGCTTTCATATCTCTTGTTTCTGGGATCTTGAGCAGGAAGGGGGAAAGCCTGAGTGTAGCTTATACATATGGAAAGCCCTTCAATGGTAGGAGTAAATCTATACCAGTTTTATTCACAGAACTTCTTTTTTTATTTGTTTTTATTTTATTTTTTTATTGAGAAACAGCAATGAGATAGTTTCAAAACCGATTAATAGGACAGTTTCATAAATTAATGCATTGCATATTATCTTAGTGGTTATCCATAGTACAAGATGCAGACATGATATCCTGTCCAAATACTATTAGTACAAATCTTATTGAATTAAGACAAAGTAGCTGTATATCTATCCTATTTTGTACATACAGATACAAAATGGTCTTTCCTTTGTATCCCCCTTTTTTGTTTAGTTTTGTTAGAGATGGGTATTCCATTGCCATTTAAATATTGTAGGTATATGAATTAAGCAAAATAATCCAATATAGTCCAGTAGTCCGTAATAGCAGTGGGTTATCCGTAGGACTGGGAATGTCAGAAGTTGTTGACTTGAGCCTTTCACAGCTCGGCATATTAATATAGCTTTACTTTTTATACCTCGTTTTTATACTTTTCTGCTGGATTGTTAAGACCAAGATAAAGCAGGACCTATATAACAAGAAATGTATCTTTTGTATCTGATAAGGTCAGTCAGGTCCCCTCAGGATTTATCCTGTTACCCTGTACCGCAGTTTACAGATCCTTTGTCAGTGTCAGCCATTGTGCACAGAACTTCTGCTTCATCCTAAATCCTCCTTCATCCTAAATCGGTGACCTTCTATCATGATGTCATGGTCACAGGCACATAGCAGAAATTTGGAAAGCACTCTTGGAAATTGTGAGTCTGTAGTTCCTCAAGTGAAATTGACATTCACTCCCATATGTCAGTAATTTCTAGTAACTTGCATATAGGGATGATTGAAATGACCCGGGTAGTAGGTAAGATTTTCTTAGTTAAACCTAACACAATTTGTCTCAGTGAGTCTTCCATCTGCCAAGAAGAATCAGGGACTCTCTTCCACCCTTTGTGCTTCTTCTTTTTGCCGAACCAGGGATTGAACTCAGACCCTTGGGCTTGCCAGGGAAGCGCTTATTCTCCTAAGCCTTCTTCCTGGCCTGCCTTCATGCTTCTAAGAATAAATTGGGTGACTGTAGGGCAGACATGGCCAACATTTCCAACATCTCATTACCAGCAGGAGCTGTTAGGACATTCTTTTAGTTTGAATGATATGTTAAAAATTACATCACAAGTAGTAGCTGATCATACTTTCTTTTTTTGTGAAAGTGTAGAATGTGCATTACACAAAGCTTGCCATTTTTACCATTTGAATTGTACAGCTCAGAGGCATTAAATGTAGCCATCACCCAGCCCATTTTGAGAAGTAATTTTATCTTCCAAAGTAACATTCTGACCCCATCAGGCAACAATTCCTCATTCTTTCTCCTACCGCCTAGCAGCCACTATTCTGTTTTCTGTCTTTATAAATTGAACTATCATAGTTTCATCCTTGTGGCATAGGTAAGACTTTTTTTTTTTTAATTTTTATTTATTTATTTATGTGTGTGTGTGTGTGTGTGTGTGTGTGTGTGTGTGGCCAGCTCAGCCCACCAGGGGGCGGGGCTGGCTGGCATGTGGTGCTGGGGGATTGAACCGCGGTCCCTGTGCTTTGCTAAGCTTGTTCTAAGTAGGTGCTTTAGACCACTGAGCCATCTCACCAGCCCCTAGGTAAGACTTTCATTCTTTTTAAAGATTAGGAAAAACGCCTCTGCATCTATGTCTCACATTTTGTTTATCTTTTGTCCATGCATAAACACCTGGTTTGTTCATATATTCGATCACTCTTGCTTGACTCTAGGTTGCGATAGAAACTCGGAGACAAAACATCAAGTCTGATTTTAAGAATCTCCACGAGTTTCTACATGCAGAGGAGAAATCATACCTCTGGAGGCTGGAAAAAGAAGAAGAGCAGAGGCTGAGGAGACTGCGGGAGAGTGAGGCCAATGTGCAGCAGAAGTGTGATGAGCTCAAGAGCCAGATCCTGGAACTGAAGGAAAAGTGTCAGAGCTCCGGCCAGAAAGTACTACAGGTGAGGCTGTGGACTATAGAAGGGAAGGAGGACCCTCGCAAGAAAGTATAGGAAGATGGCTAAGCCTCTTTCTCTTGAACGCAGCTATTAATGTAAGGATTATAATGCTTCTCTCACCTTATAGCCCATATCATCAGGGTGGCTCTACCAATCTTTACGTTTGCCTTACGACAATTACGAAACCTTCTTCCTCTGGATGGATGTAGAGTGGCCAGAGGGAATCATGAGATCATGTTTCCCAAAGAAAGGCAGTCATCCTTTCTTTGTTTCTGTGGCACAGTTTCATGCCTGTTCGGCTTCTCTTGAAATACTCTTCCAGGTGGCATATGGTGACACTGCCAGGATAACTTTTTCCCTGATTTGCTGGTAAAATCCTTGTTCCATAGAATCTGGGGGTTCTTTCTGCAGCTGCACAAATGGATGTACCCAGTTAAGATAAGCTGCTCTTAATTCTAGTGCCTGCTATTTCAGCTATTAATTGTGGTAGTCATACTCTAGGTAAAACCTAGCACATCTGCTGCACCACCCCGGGATGCCAGCTGCCATCATTTCTGAGGCTCCGAGCCTCAGGCCCGGTGTATGCAGTCACCATGGAGGACCCAGGTGACAAGTGGTCTTTAACATGGGCTCACTCTGAGGGACATCAGGTCCTTAGAGCCAGTCTTGCCAGAGGGGGGCTGAGTGGATCTTCTGCCTACATTAGCCACTGCTCTTCGCCACAGGCATCCCCAGGGAGATCACAGCCCCTGCTGAGTGGGCAGAGGCCAGGAGGGATCTTTCCTCTTCATTCTGCAGCGGTGTCTCAGGCTGGGCCCCGCTTTCCTTCCTGGGGGACGTGTGTGTACAGACAGTGTGTTCCATGCCACAGCGCAGGGAATCTTGATGCTAACACATTCACCTTTTGTTTTTGTTTATTTGTAGAATGTGAAAGAAACCTTGAGCAGGTGAGTCCCACGTGCAGTGGGAAAGGGAAGGGCTGGGCCCACAGAGCTGAAGGGAAATGTCAGCTGAAGGGGTCTCTGCCTCTGCTTCTTCCAGGGCATACGCTGTGCAGCTGGAGGCTCCCGAGCCCTTTTCCATGCAGGTTCAGACTGCGTGTGATGTTGCTGAGCTTTACTTGGATGTGAAGGAGATGTTAAGATGCCATCAAGGTATGAGAGCAAGCTCAGGGAACCCTCTGTGCCGTGATGGGGGGACCATGCAGTAGCACAGTACCACTGTCCGAGGCAGCCTTGAACAAATGCTGTAGTTATGTTCATCAGAGCTCTCTCACTTTCCCTGTTTTGTGTTCTGTGCTGGGTTTGTACTGCCACAAACAATCCCCTGGGGAAGGTCCCCTCCCACACTCCCTTAGCCTGCTGGTAGGATTTGTTTCCTTGGGATTGCAGGATTTAGGGCCCTGGCTTCATGCTGCGTATGGCTGCAGACAGGCCTTAGCTTCCAGAAACATCTTCCATCTGTTCTTTGCAGGTAGGTCTCACAAGGCAAATTTTCCCAGCAATGTGAATTCAGGAGATGGAATCTCCATTGCAAGTCTGCCAACAAGTTGGTGTGCAAATAGTGAAACTTAATCACAGGAGTTATTTCTTACCATCTTTGTCATGTTTTGTTGTCCGGAGGACATTATCATGCCCTGTCCACACTTAAAGGAATTTCACAAAGGTCTGCACATGTAAAACCATGCTCTGTATTTAGCACTTGTGGGTGTTTCATTCTTGATTTTCTATGGCTTAAGAATTTGTATTGGGTTCTTTCCCTTTTGATTCCTGGGAGCTTCTTCTGGTATGTGAGTGGTGGTGTCTGCTTTCATTCTCTTTTTGATAAAGGCCCAAGTTTAGGGTAGAAATATTTTCCTCTGCAATTTGTGACTTGTTTCTGAAGAGCTCAGTCATCAGTGAACAACTAAGTTTCTTGTATTCATCAACAGCGTCCTGTGGTTCTTTTCCTGTGATCCCAAAGTGGTGTACTGAAAACTTCCCATGGTGTTCTCAGGAAAAAAGACATTTATAAATATACATAAAGTATGCATTATATGTGCATTCTATTTTATGTAACATAATACAGATTTCATACCCCAGCTTGAAGCTAATACATACATCCTGATTGAGCTCTAGTCACATTGCCAAATAAGAGGTGGTTGTCTGAAGTAGTGAACATAAATGTAACGCTCTGGACAAGAGGAATCCTGGGGCCAGGGAGATGGCTCAGTAGAATAAGCACTTGCCTGGCAAACCCAAGGGCCTGAGTTCAATCCCTGGTTCCTCAAAAAAAAGAGGAATCGTGACATTATAAAAGTAGTTAAAGAAAAGTTAGCTGCCAAGTATAGTCTGAGAACACATGATCATACGGTGATGATGGTGAAGACTGTTGCTAGGCAGGTTGAGAGGGTCTTACACTGCGGACCTGCTCATGGAGAAAGTAGGGCCATCTTCTTTTTCTTTCTTTCTTTTTTTTTTGGCAGAATCTGGGATTGAATTCAGGCCCTTGCACTTGCCAAGCAAGTGCTTATTCTACTGAGCTGTCTCCCTGGCCCAGGGCCATCTTAATAAAGTTCCATAAATACATTCCTGTACTTTTACTTAGCCAATATTCCACTTTCTCTCCTGTGACATTCTATTTGCAGCAGAGCTTGATCTTGTCTTGTTGATAGTAAAGCCATCCCAGTCTTTTTATTAATACATAATGACAGAGAGATCTATTTTTTTGATGTTATGTAACATATTGAACCAAACTTTTATATATCTGAAATACAGAAAGATTATATGTCTTTGATGTAGTGTATTATTGTGCACTATACATTCAAATAACATGTATGAGGGCTGGCCAGATAGCTCAGCGGACTAAGGTGCCTACATAGGCAGAGTGCAGTGGTTGGGGTTCAAGCCCCAGTATTGAACTGGCCATGCCCCCAGGGCACACTGAGAGGTGATTGAGAGTGGGCACGGTGACACACACCTGTAATCCCAGTGCCTGCAAGGCTGAAGACGAGGATCAATACGAGTCTGATCCATGTAATGAGACCCTGTAGACCTGGTACCAAACAGCAAAAAAAACAAAAAACATAATATATATTAAAAAGACTGGTTTTTTATATTAGTTTCGGTGGCACACACGTTGTGATTCCCAGAATTAAGGAGACTCATCACAACATTGTGGTCAACCTAGGCTACACAACTAGATCCTGTATCTATATAAATATAAATTCTGTATAAAATTGTTTTATGTAGACATAGAAAATGTTTAACATGTATTTTGTACTATAAACATGTTAAATATACGCATGATGTTATACATACATCATATGGATACATGAATGTACATGTTTTTTGAAAACTTGGTTTTATAGTCGAACTGTTCTGTATACTCTTGTCTTCTTGCATGTCTCTGGTTGTGAAGTGGAGATGGGGAAGGGCTCCTTTCAGCTCCTTGAGTCCTTGGTTCCTGAAGGTTTATAGGGCAAAGGGATAGCTTTGGACAGGACAGGAACCACATTCATCTGGGCCTTTGTGTCTCTGACATATGAAATGACGATTAGCACGAAGGCATGGAGGAAGTATTGTGATGGCACTATAGTTTACTGTGTCCAAAGAGTTTTGGTAAACACTGGGGAAATATTAGCTTACTGGAGTCTCCTCACCATGCTCTACAACATTTGTAATTTTCACTTTATATTTAGCTCATATGTCTACTAAGAAATGATAGCATTTAGGCATGGGCTGGTTTGAATTAAATTGTATTCTCAATGAACAAAACCGCATGATTTTCATTGCTTGTGTCTGTCTTCATCTTGGTTGGCTTTCACAGTTGGAGTGACTCTGGATCCAGATACAGCTCATCCCAACCTACTTCTGTCCAAGGATCGGCGACAGGTGTCTCGTGGATGGAACCAACAGAATCTTGCAGTTTCTCCTAGGAGATTTACGACTTTCCCCTGTGTCCTGGGCTGTGAGGGCTTCACCTCAGGAAAACACTACTTCGAAGTGGATGTTGGAGAAGGAACAGCTTGGGATGTGGGAGTCTGTATGGAAATTGTGGAGCGGGGCCATGGAATGCAGCAGAAGCCTGAGTTTGGCTTCTGGGCCATCAGGCTGTGCACAGAGAAAGGCTATATGGCCCTGACCTCTCCCCCAACTATCCTTGAGCTACCTGAGCGACCCCTGGTGGTTGGTGTTGCTCTCGACTATGAGGCTGGAGTTGTGTCCTTTTACAGCATGACCTCTGGCTCCCACATCTTCACCTTCCCCATGGCTTCCTTCTCTGGTATGCTGCGGCCTTTTTTCCAGGTTTATCAATATTCACCTTTGTTCCTGCCTTCCTGCAGTGAGTAAACAAGGAAAACATTCTTGTTTTAAACTAACAGAAAATGTATAGAGCCCATAATGGCAGAACTTTGATCAGTTTTCTTCATTACTATTAGTTCAGTACCTTGAACAGGGCTGGACCATTAGAAGATATTTAAGAAATCTTTACTGAAGTAATGGTGATAAAGACTATGAGAACACTGTAGATGGCCAGCCTGATTGAGTGGAAAACAACATAATGTGATGATACATACGTCTCTCTGTGTCTCTAGTTCTCTGATTTCTGGTCATCCTTGCTTAGTGATTTGGGTAACTTTGAGGCAGTGAGACTCGTATGTTTTCACCTTCATTTTTATATGTTTGGACTAGTGTGTGGAAATGAAAGAAAGCCATTCCAGGAAGAGATAGGAAAAATCAAACCAGCAGTGGCTTCCCTACACAGACATACTGATTAATAATGTCCACTACAATCCAGGCCTGACCTATAATTCTGCCAGACTTAGAAAATCACCGAAGAATGTTAGAAGAGAAAAACTTGTTTACTGACAGATGCTTTAGTGGAAAGTAGAATGTGACTAAATGATTGATTTTCATGGGGGACTTAATTCTGAAAAGCACAAAGAAGTTGGCATTTTCTCAATTGTGCTACAGCTACATATTTTGAAATATATTTACATTCCAGTAAGTAGTATTTGGTAGAACAATTGTCAGTAGTCTTTGTTATGTCAGAGTAGCACTTATCCCAGTAGTAGGTTTGTCATGAAAACTGAAGTTAATCAGCTTTATATGGTTGCCTATGAGTGGACTAATGACAGGATAGTAGGAAAGTCGGCAAAAGGACAAATGACAGTATTGATGACTAAAGTCCAAAGCTGCTAAACATTTGTAGTTGATATAAAATTGAGGTTTGCTGATATTGCTGACATCCTCTGACAGCATCTCAGTCAGAAGACAGAAATAAAGGCAGAGCTGTTCTGTAGACGTCAGAGGCCTGCTCTGGCCTCCATGTCTGTCCAAAGAGACCTAAAAGAGGTCACATCCTGGTGTGAGAAGTACTCCTGATGAGGATGGTGGAGACAGGGCTTTGAAGGGTCCTAGGAGAAGGGTCCCATAACCTGTTTTGCTACTTCAGCAGTGGATTATTTTGAAAACAATTGATGAAAAGAGAACTAATAAAAGTCCTCTCTTCTCTACTCCCCTCCATTCCACTCCTCTTCCCTTTTCCTCTTCTTCCTCTCTTTCTCCCTCTCCCCTTGCCCCACTCCCTCTTTTCCTCTTCTTCACCTCCCCATCCTCTTCCACCCCATCCTCTCCCCCAAATATGGGAAATTTGTAAAGATTTCTTACCTTTTGAAAAGTACAGATGTGAATCACCAGAGACTCCAGCTTGGCTTAAGGATCAGGAAACTGAATTACAAACTTTAAAAAACAAAAACGAACAGCTATTAGTCTTTACCATTAGCCTTCCTATATATTTGCCTTCCAACAATTTATCACCGTAGAAACACAGAGTCGTGTTTTGGTCTCATTACTTCTCCAGTAATGTATTTTCTTTTGGTACAATGCTCTGTAGCCCAACTTCTAACACTCCTTTGCATTACTTACCTCTGCATATGTCTGGTACACATGGTAATAAATTTCTGTTTGCTGTTTGCTTGTTAGCTGTCATTTGTTAGTCTAGTTTATAACAGACCCATGTGGAGAAGTCAAGATGACTGGAAAAAAAGAGTTCCTTTTCACCACAGCCTTACTTGTTCTCTGTCCCCATGATTCTAGAACATCGGCTCCACATGTAACTGAAGCACTGCCTTTGTGCAGGGTCCTGGGCACAGATACATTTTCGACTTCTTGGTCCTGTGAAAATGAGAAAGTGTGATTGCATCAGAGCTTTTCAGGAAGCCCTGCTCCTTCAGAATTCCTCCTGGTGCCTGGGTATTACTTAAATTCCCTGCTTGCAGTCACCTGAAAAAAATTGTGTCACACTGCTGAACCCCCAAACTACAGCGGTCCCTCACTTATCCTGGAGGTTACATTCTACGCCCTCCGCAGTAAGTGAAAATCAGCAAAATAGTGACATTATATTTTAGTATTTATATGTGTTTTAAGGCATAAGCCGCACACTCTTATAAATCTTTCCCACACTTCTAATGTTCTTACCAGTTTTCTGAATTTGTAAGCCGTAATTTTAACTACATGTGTACTGTACTGCAAGATTTTATGAGTGCTTACCAATGAAGATACTATAATTTCAATGGTGAAGGTTATGAATTCGATGATAAAGATGAGTTGAATACTGCACAAAACATTACTGTAAATCCCATAATATAGAGAAAAATCTGTGATAGATTAATATTTTTTGAAAACATGCCAAACAGTCTGTGCAAGTTGAGCCATGAAACAGCGAGGGATTACTGCATACTCTCACTCTGCCAGCCAGATGGCTCTTGGTTTTAAAAGGTAAAGCCTAGTTGTTGGTAAACAGATGTTCCGACTGCCTGCCTCTGAGCATGGGTGCAGCCTGCACTCCTAAGGGAGAAGCCAGGATAAGCTTGATAGTTTGTGTGCTAACACTCCCAACCATTTTGAGGCTGTAAAAAAATAAAAGTGAGCTAATATATAGAATAGGGTTAAAATAATGACAAAACACACCCTTGTATTCTACATATCTCCTTGCCTAAGTAAAGGAAGAACGAAGGGCACATGCTGGTTTCCGACCATCTTTCCCTTCTGCTAAATCCTCCCTCACATCTAATTCCTAGTGAAAATCTAAACCTTAGAAAGGCTGGACAGTGTGAATATTAGACATTAAACTCCCGTTTGCTTTCAGAACTGATTATTCATTTCCTAGTGATTGGAGTAGAAGAATCTAATTCAGTAACAATAGAGCAGTTCATCTGTGTCGTGTGTCTAGCACATGAAGACGGGAGAGGATTCTTACACACATTGCCTCGCTGACTCCGTAATACCTGAACTCAGGAATTCTGAGTTACAGCTGGTGCTTCATGTAGATTCTCTTTCCTATCTAATGTCCTTTCATGTAAACTGTAATAACTTTTGCAAAAATTTTATGAAGCAAAAGTAATTATGGATTAGTTTTTGTCCGAGAACATCTCTTATTTTTGAAAACTAGTTCACCTGGATGCGAAAGCATTGGTGAAATATTTTTTCTTTTCACCATTTTAACGCAGCACTAATTTTTCCTAACATCCATCGTTTCTGATAAGAGGACATCTTAATGTTACCTAAGATTTGTTTCTACCTTTAAGATTCTTTGCCTCTGTCTTCTGGTCATCCCATTATGGTGAGTTTATGACTTTATCCTACCTGAAATTTGCCCAGTTCCTTTGGTGTGATCTATTTTCCAGTGTACTGAGCCTTTCTGTTTTCTGATGAAATGGCAGTTGAGGCCTGTGCTTCACTTTCCCCCACCCCTTAAACTTCATCCCCCACCCGTGTTTATGTGAGAGCAGCACTTGAACCATTAAAAACGTTGGCTCAGATGCAGCATGAAGTTATTGTTTCAAAAACAGTAAATGTCTTCAGGTGCATTGTGGCTCCATACTTCTGGGTTTCCCTAGAGAAATTCTACGGTAAACTTCAATTCTCTTCCCGCAAACACTTCAGGGAAGCCCTTGTGCATATCTCAAGGGCTTTGTAAAGTGACCTTTCATGCTAGCATGACAAACATGAGCAGTCTCTTTGTAAGGAATGCTAAAACTTCCTTGAAGAATGTGGTTTACAAAGACAGTATTTTGAATAATTAACTGGGTGTCTTAGCAGAATCTCTCTCCTATATCTTTATGGCCTTCCTACCTCTCTGGATGGAGCTCACTATCTTACCTATGCTCACCTGGAAAATTCATCCTCACAATAGCTTTGAGTCTTTGATATTACCAAATCTCTTGGCTTTCTCTCCCAGGGGCCCAATTACTCTCTTGCTGTCCATTTCAGCCTTGCCCAGTGCAGTCCATCACTTTCTCCCGTGTGACAGAGGGAGCCAGCTCTCTGGAAAACTGATAAGCACCATGCCTGTATTTACTGATAGCACTCGCCTTCTACCCCAGCACACACGTACATACAATGGAGGTACAACCCGGAACACAGCAGTGCACGGCCACAGACCTCTGACACCATTTCACACACATTAAACACAGGCGTGAATGTACTTCCTAAAATGTGCATCCACTTTCAATCAGATATTTTTCAATTTAATACAAACCACTAGCCCAAAACTAGGTACCTAAGGTTGTCAGAGAATAATACTCATGAGAATCTCTGCCTTGATGGAGCTTGAATTCTGACAGGTGAAGCTGTGAATCATCCACAAAAATGAGTGAACTATTTAGTGACAACTATCTTGAAAGAAAGTAGTGTGATTTAAAGGAAGTTGGCATGTGCCAGGGCATGGGTGTGAGAGGAAGATCAGGGAGAGCTGCTTGAGGAAGAAACTTGAAGTCCAGATAAGATGCTCCAGGGTTTGTGGGACTGACTCTCCAAAGAGAGAACTCAAGCATGGAAATTTTCTTTTTTCTTTTTTTGTATTTTAGGACAGGGAGTACAGGGTCTCACTGCATAGATTGGACTCGTAGTGATCCTCCTGTTTACAGCCTCCCAAGTGCTGGGATTACGGGTGTGTGCCACTATGCTCAATCTTAATCACCATCTCAGTGCGCCCTGGGAACAGGGACAGCCCAGCAGGCCCTGGGGTTGAACTCCTGGCCCCTGTGTCTGCCTAAGCAGGTGCTTTAATCCACTGAGCTGTTTGCCAGCCAAGAAATTTTCAAGAGAATGTAATGACCCAGTCCACATTTAGGGGCTTTCTCCCTGGTACCCCAGACTCCCAGCATTAAGTGCATTCTAACAGGAGTCACCTATACTTTTGTCTATGAGAGAGATCTTTCACCTTTTATCTTTGGGGATTCAGGCTTGAGGCTCAGCTTGCCCCTTTTTCTCTCTGAGCCCTGGATCTTGTTGGCAAAACAAACTTGTGCTTCACTCAACAGGAAGCAGGGGTGAGGCACAACAGGTGTTTACAATACAGGTTCTGTCTTGTTTCCTTCAAGTGGTAGTTTTTTGGTACTGGATGGTTGGTGATGTTTGTTGTGAATTTGAAAGTTCTAGAAGAGACAAGGATTGGTCTCCAGACTGCTAGAGCCAGCTGCTTTGAAACATTTTAAAATTACAGATGATAGTTGTTGGAAAGCTATTTGTAGTCTATTATATTTCAGATATGATGAAATAGTTTATAACAGGGCATTTTTAGAAAAAGTATGTTTTAATCAGTTTTAAATGGTCATACTTTCACTAATTTCAGAGTGAAATTAGTAAAACACTGTAAATTTGATAAGCAAAGTAAAAAAAATTCACTGAAAGTGATGAAAATTCATAGTGCATATACAAGTGGATGTCTGCTGATACTGAGGGCCCCTGCTGTTCTGTCTCTAAGAACAGGGAAATGAAGTCAGAGACTATCTGGATGTCAGAGGTATGCTAGGCCCACCGGCTCTGCCTAAGGAGAGCTTAAAGAGGTCAGACCACTGAGCCAACCTCCCAGTGTCAGACATTCTCCAGGTTGGCCCAGAGGGCCTGAGTTGTCATGAGCCCGTGGAAGGTTCCAGAATATGGTGCTCTAAAGGGGCCACACAGCCTGAGGTTATTTGAGCTAAAAACAGTTGAGATAAGCAGATTTCCTGAAAGCTCCCTACTCTCCCCTCTTAGCCTGAATGTGGACCTAAGTTGTAAAGGTATCGCCCTCTTTCAGTCTCTAGTAATGACAGAAGCTAATTACCCAGGAGTCCTAGCTTAGTACGAGTACCAGAAGAAGAACCAGCACAGCAAATTTTGTAAGAACTGGGTTTTCTGTACCATTCAATTCCCTGTACATTTATTTGCCTTCCCACAACTTATCACCTTAAAAATCCGATATCCTAATTTTTTTTTACATTTATTGTGTGTGTGTGTGTGTGTGTGTGTGTGTGTGTGTGGCCAGCTCAGCCCACCAGGGGGCGGGGCTGGCTGGCATGTGATGCTGGGGGATCGAACCGCCGTCCCTGTGCTTTGCTAAGCTTGTTCTAAGTAGGTGCTTTAGACCACTGAGCCATCTCTCCAGCCCAAAAGGACAGCACTTTTTTTTTTTTTTTTTCAGAACCAGGGATTGAACTTAGGCCCTTACGCTTGCCAGGCAAGTGCTTATTCCACTGAGCCATCTCCCCAGCCCCCAGTATCCTAATTTTTGCATGCAAGGCAGCTGACAATGTATGGTTCTTCGGTTAAAAGGCTAAACGTCCAAGTTCTATTCACTCCTTTACAGTACTTACTTACTTTCTTATTCCCCTGTGCACACAAGATGTTTGCTCAGAGCCAACCTCTGAGTCACACCCTTGTTGACCCTCTAGAACATGTCAGAAACATGTTTGCTCTTCTCTTCTGAATGCATCTTATGTTGTTCTGGTTTATAGAACCCATTCATTTGTTCTCTAGCTGCAGAACTCCAGCCCTCGAGTGCCTGTGGAGTAAATGAAAAGTTCACCTGTGTGCAGGACCCAGGCAGACACAACATGCTCATCACTAAGTTCTCTATTGTTTTGTCTTCTGAAAAATGGAAGGAAAAGTATAACAAAAGCAGCACTGAAAGGGGTTTTTAAGAAGCAGGCTTTTCTTGAAATCCTGCTGCTGCCTGGCTGCACCCCCTATACACGTTGCCAGCAGTCAGTGACCCACATTTGGACCCTGAAGATCCTTGGTCCTTGAAAGGCTGCCAGCCAGATGGTGCTTGTTTATGAAAGTTTTGAGCTGCATGCTGGTAATCACATGCTTGTGCTCCCAAACACCCAGATAGCGCACATCTCAGCGGTGCAGGGTGGGGTGTGGCCAGTCTAGACTGGTTCCTTAGGGTTCACACCCATGTTGACCCTCTAGAGCACCTTAGGTTCATTTTAGCGAAAAACCAGCAAAAATAAAAAAGTCCCACAGCCACCTCCTCATTAGGGAGGACAAGAGATGGTATCTGATTCCCAGAAATCACTCCTTTGGTTATCAACCCAGAGCACAACTTGTAAACTGTATGCCCTCCTGAGTCCCAGTAAAAATAGCTACTGCAGACCTGCTGGGTAGAAGGTGCCTGCCGAGGGTCAGCTCCCCTTCTCTATTTGTTACTGTAAAACCATAAGAACTCGATTTCAGATATGAGAAAGAGGTACTGTCACTAGGAAGCCATGCAGCTCCTTGGGTTCTCTGGAGATTGCTTCTGTGATCTACTAAAATGCAGCTTGCTCCCCCAAAATTAACAGGGTCTTGGTTGACAGGCTGCGGTGGGATACTGATGTCTTGCAGCTCTGGAGTAATGTGAAAGGGCTACCTTAGGCTTTCACCAGGGGTCAGTACCTTGGTCCTACTCAAGATCTACCTTTCATTAGTTGAGACCCAAGGATGACATCAGTCTGTCCCTTCTCCCATGCTCCCTGTTCTCCCAGTTTGCAAGTTATCCTCAGGTTGTTAGCCTCCCCTTGGCCTGACACAGGAGTTACTACTAGGACTTTGGAGGTTCCCACATAGAGCAGAGACCCTTGGGGACCTTGAACCGTGGTCTCTCCTTGCCTACAAGTCCCTCCACCTGTAGGCAAGAAGCCAGTGGAGCACTGAGTTTGGTTTGCATGGGAGGTGACCCTCCAAAGAGAATGTGGAGATTTGACATACTCTTTTCCTGCCGCTGTCACATACAAGAGGCAACAGGTTAATATAATAAAAGTGTAATGTCACAAATAATAGTATTTTGTAAAAAGCTGTTCATCAGTTTGTCTCTTCTAAGTGCTTTTTATTTGTTTTGCTTTTCTCATTGGACCTTTGGGTGGTTTCTGGTTGTACTTAGGTCAGGAGGAGAGAGCCCAAGCAGATGATTCCTCAAGTTTCTGCAGAGAATCCCACGACACAAAGGACTGGAGGGCAGGACCCCACCTGAACCCCACTGCAGGACCCTGGGGACAGCAAAGGCTTTTCTCAGACACCGGCGCTGGACAGGATGACAGTCTGGAATCACCTAAGTGCCAAAGGACCCTGCTGCCACCCTAACCCTGCCTGTTCAGACCCCATCCAGCCCTAAAGTCTCTGGTTATTGAGGCCCCGCACCCACATTCAGTTGCAGACTGGCTAATTGACCTTGGTGACCCTGACTTTCCTGATGGGTCTCTTCAAGTGCCTGAGGCCAGGGGACAGGGCTCCTTCCTGTCTTACAGGAACAAGACCTTCCCTGTGGAAGACTGTAACAGGGGTAGCACAAAAATAATGTGATGGGCCAGATAACTCAGTGGACCTAAGCTCCTGCTTGGCAGATGCAGGGACCAGTGTTTGATCCCTGGCATGCTGTGCTGGCCCCACCCCCAGGGCACACTAAGACCGTGACTGAGACTGGGCATGGTGACGCACACCTGTAATCCTAGCACTTGGGAAGCTGAAAACAGGAGGCTCACTACGAGTCCAATCTGTGTAGTGAGACCCTATAGATTTTGTACTAAAACTTATAAAAATTAAAAATTAAAAAGAGAAGAACTCAAGAAAAGCCTCTTCAGTTTTATCCTGGAGGAACTCAGTGTTTAACTTACCAATTATGTCTATAATGCACTAGATTGTAAAAGTATTGTCATGAAAGATTCCTGGTACATAACCCATGATTTGCTCATGCAATTATGACTAAGAAAGGGCCCTACTATAGTGTCTGCCACTGAGCCACTAATGGTTCTGCTGCAAAGCTGTGATCCTGGAAAGGACCTGCTCATCCTGGAGCATCAGTGGAAGGACGATGGGCTTCTTGATTTTTATCACGTGACATTTGTCTCACCAGGAAGCAGGATAGACACTCAGTTTTCTCCAGGTGAGCACACTGGATTGATTTCTAATGAAATCATGTAGGCTGTTTTCAATAGCAGTCTAATCTGTAGATGTAAAAACCTTAACTGAGCCAGATACTAGAAAAGTATTAAAAATGCACTCAAAGACCTCTGGGTTCCAGACCCCAATCTCTTCTGAACCTGTTTTTTTTGTTTTTTTTTTTTTTTTTTAGGATAATAAAAGCAATGCTAGGCCTCAACAGGTTCATCTCAGAAGGCCTCATTTGCTTGAAGAGCCTTTAGGACAGGAGGGCTGCACTGCATCCTGGCTCAGGGTCCCTAGTTTCCCTTTCTGGTTCTATGTGGTGGGTTAGCTTCAAAAGCTCCTCAGAGTACAAAACACTTCAGTGGGAGGCTGAGAAAATGGAGGACAGGAGCCACATCAGGGGGATCAGGAATCTAGGGAGGCACCTGGCATCCAGCACAACTTGGTGCTGAAATCAACTATAGGATAGCTCATTCCTAAAGACTCGTGGCACCTCCTTCTCTCTCTTTCAGGACAAGCTGAGCTCACAGCCTCCTCTCCTCATTGGCTGTGAATCTGTGGCCCCGCCTCCCTCAGTAGTTTTCTTTTTTCCCTCTGAGGTAGCTAAGTGCCTCAGTTCCAACAAGTGGCAGCCTTGGAAAGAACTAGCATCAGATAGGTCAGTGTATTCCTGAAAGGTGCAGTTTCTGGTCCTGTGGGCAGAGGGTGGAGCATGGCTGGGCGTCTGTGGGAGTTGGTGGGAGTGCAGAGAGTGTTTGCTGACAGCAGGGCCCTGGTGTCTTCCTCAGAAAATGCCAGAAAACCTGTTGACAGCTCTCACAGTAAAGCATTCTGTTTTCTCAGTGCTTGCTCCTCAGGTATAACCAGGCTCTTATACTTTTCCAGGTCTCTTTTCAGATTTTCCTTAGGTTGAGAGAGGGTAAACAGAAGGAAAAAACTCAGTCTTCTGATTGACTTGGTTATATTCCTCATCTTCCTTGCTGGGTCTCCACTGTACTTTTTGAAGTTGGTCTCCTATAATATGTAGGTTGGGGTTTGGGATTATGGTGGAAGCCAGTTTGATTGCCTAAGCAGAATCCTCCATAGACTACACAATGACCCACAAAATTATTAGAGATAATGCTGGGGCTAATTGTTCTTTAAAACAAGAAAGTATTTCACACTGTCTTACTGATTTATGGCCCCTGCTGCCACATGCAAGTCACACTGAGATGGAATGTTCTTGGTCGGGGCGTCCTATCCACACCAGCCACAAGAGGCTGCTGGGCAACTGACACATGTCTAGAGAAACTGGATTTTGAATTTTACTCTATATACATCAAGTTGCGTTTAAATGTCTACACAGATGACTTATGCATTTTCTACATTAAAAAGCCTTTCTATTTATAGAGATAAAGCTATAGCATTTTTTAAGGGTCGTGGCATCCAGCGTCTCTTACACAGGCTCAGGTCAGCTATTTCCAAACCTGTGGAAATTTTGTCTGTTCATCTTCACCTCTAGGTCAACGCCGGAGCTCCTCTAGAAAAGCCATGGCCTCAGCCGCTCCCATGCAGAACATTCAGGAGATCAGCACCTGCATGCTGTGCTCAAAGTTATTGGCTCATTCAGTGAGCCTCGACTGTGGACACAACTACTGCGTCTTGTGTATGAGTATGTGCGTCTTTTCTACAAAGGAACCATTGCCACAGAGGTTCCTGTGTCCCCAATGTGAGTGCACAATCCACATAGACCTTCGGCATCTCAGAAGATTATTTGAAGTCTTAAAGCAGATGATGGAGATTGTGTTCAACGTAGACTGTGAGGCCCACGGGGAGCCGCTGCAGCACTTCTGTAAGGATGACAAGCAGCTCATCTGTCAGCGCTGTGAGCAGACACCGCAGCACCAGGCACACACCACAGTGCTGGTGGAGGACGCGTGCCAGGACTACAAGGTGAGTGTGGCCAAGACTTCAGCAGGGACCCGTCCTGTGCTGCTCCCAAGCTCTGAGACTTTTGATTCTGAAACTAAGATTAGACCATGAAACAGGGATTTTTGTGTGGTGTTCTTCTGAAAAATAGCTTGTGATAGATCTGTGTTGAATCCATTCCAAAGTGATCCCAATACAGTGGTCTCTCACTTGTGGAGGTTACGTTCCAGACACCCTTGCGATAAGTGAAAATCAACAAGGTAGTGATGTCATGTTTATTTTAGTATTTATATATAGTTTAAAACTTTATAAACCTTTCCCACACTTCTAAAAACACTTCTAATGTCCTTAGCCATTTTCTAACTCATATTCCTACATAATTTCAACAACATACATATACTGCGTGGTACTGAAAATTCCCACCATATAGCAAAAATCCACCATAAATAGTTTAGATTACTATTTTTTTTAATTTTTGAATTTAGTTCAATTTATAATACCACATTTTCAAGAAAATTGAAACTTTTGTGCAAGAAATTTAAATAAAATCATACCAAGATACACAAAAATGAGATTGTCCAAAACTTATTGTAAAGAAAAAAATCATTAAAGCATATACATAAAAAATATTAGTTGTGGAAGACCAAAATTAAATAGCATCTTATTCCACATTAGAAAGAAAAAAAAAAAAGGACCAAGTGTGTAAGAAACTAGACTAATTAAAGGACTGAAGGAAAAAAAAAGACCTGTCCTCTTTGAGTTTTATACTTAGCAAACATACCTTTGAAAACTAAAAGTAAAATATTTTCTAGTTATACAAACTTGAAATATTTTAATACCTCCAGATGTAGCATATAGGAAATAACCAAGAGCATAATTCAAAAGGCAAGAGAAGTTGCAGTATGCTCCTCAATGAACAATAAAGAGCTCTCAATATGATAGTTATGCAGGACTGTATAAAAAATATATTAGATGAACCCTTATTTAAAAGGTCATTGAAGATTTCTAAGAAACAGTACCACTCTTATGTCGGCTTATTCATGTATTTTTTTCATATGTGTGTGTGTATGTGTGTAAAAAAGATAGGGAAGAAGTAATATAAAGTCAACAGAAAATGGAAATATACTTTTTAAAGTTTCTAATACTAGGAAAAGATATCATACCATGTCTTTTAAATAAATTATATGCCAAAGATATAGTATAAATCTTACAATAAAAATAAGATTAAGCAATATTCAGAAAATTAAATACTGATTAGTTAAAAATTAAATGTTTCAAAACAATTGAACTAAGAAAAAGTTTTCATGATAGTAAAGAAGTACTAAGAATAAAACATAAGATAAATACTAGAATGGCAAATAAATGACCAGTATTGCACAAAGTTCTAGTGTGTTGTGGACATGGATAATGACCATGACACTTACTGGTGGCCAGGTATCACTTGTGGGACTGAGCTACAGCTATTTCCTTGAAATCCACCCTGTAGACTCAGATGGAATCATGACCCATAGGCTGCAAGAGAAATCCATTTGTAGAGTGTGCTGATGGGAATATTTTGCTGCTGTAAACAAAAGAATAACTGAATGACTACTATTGTATACCTCTTATTCTCCTGTGTTTGTTTGCCCTATTTCGTGGGTTCTTTCCATTCTCATTCATGGAATTGTGATCTTTTTGCTCCCTCTCTAGAATATCATTTAGTAGTGTGTGTAAGCTTGGCTTTGTCGTCATGAAATTCTTTAGTTGTTCTTTGTCATGGAAGTATTTCATTTCTCCATTATACTTGAAAGAGAGTTTGGCAGGGCATATCAGTCTGGGTTGTAATTTGTTTTCTTGCAAGACTTGAAGTACTTTGCTCCATGCTCTTCTTAACTTGACGGTTTGTGAAGAGAAATCTGCCATTATTCTGATGGGTTTTCCTTTAAATGTGATCTGTTTCTTTTCTTTAGTGGCCTTTAGTATACTGTTCCTGTGTTGAATTTCTGGAATCTTGATTATTATATGTCTGGGTGTGGTTTTCTATTTTTTTTTTTAATTTTTATTTGTGTGTGTGTGTGTGTGTGTGTGTGTGTGTGGCCAGCTCAGCCCACCAGGGGGCGGGGCTGGCTGGCATGTGGTGCTGGGGGATTGAACCGTGGTCCCTGTGTTTTGCTTAGCTTAGCTTGTTCTAAATAGGTGCTTTAGACCACTGAGCCATCTCACCAGCCCGAGAATCTTCATTTTTTTGTGAAGATTTCTTTTTCGGGGTTTTTTTTTTGGAGATGGGTAATCAAGCTCTTTTTTTTTTTTTTTTTGCGGAACCGGGGATTGAACTCAAGCACTTGCGCCTGCCAGGGAAGCGCTTATTCCACTGAGCCATCTCCCCAGTCCCTGGGTGTGGTTTTCATTGGGTTGATGTTATTTGGAGTTCTATATGCTTTGGTTCTATATGTCAGATTGTTTCCCCATATTTGGGAAGTTTTCTGCTATTACTTCTGCCCATATTCTTTTTATATCATTTGTATTGACTTCTTCCTTCTCATTGGTGCCTATTAGTCTCACATTGTTCATCTTTGCATCGTCTCACAGGTATTGAATTATTTTTTCCTGCATCCTAGTTGTTTTTAAGAGATCTTTTCTTACTTTTTACTAGCTGTAATGGTGTCTTTAAGGTCTGAAAGTCTATTTTCACTTTCATTCAAATGGTTTTGCCAGCTTTGATTGAGGTTTTAATTTCCTGTATATCATTTTGAATCTGTTTCATACATTCTATTTCTTTCCTATACTGCTTATTCATGGATTCCATCATTTTTATATTCTGCTCTTTTTTTATCAGTGTATTGTTTAGAAGCACCTAGTACTTCTTTGATTATATTTATCATTACTTTTTTTACTTCAGAAATTATTTCTGATCTGATTTCTTCTATACCTTCCTGCAGTTGTTTCTTTACTTCCAATGCTATTATTTCAGAGATTTCAGGTGTGTGATTTCCAATTTCCTCAATGCTAGTATCTTCTGCATTTGTACTGATTGGACTCGGGACCTGAGCCTGCATTTTGTTCCTTCTCTTTGAGATTTTGTATACCACTGTCTTCTGACCTTTGGTGTAGAGCTTAGATAGAGCTATTACCTTAGCACTGGGTCTGGATCTATGAAGTTCAGATTCCTCCATGTGGGTGTGGCTTGGATCTGGTTGGGGTCTGGCTGCTGTGTTCCACTTCTTCCTACTGCAGCTGTTGGAATTGAACCCTTTCTGTCACTCTGGCAAGATGTTCTGCTCCTGAATCAGCTTGGTGGGTCTTGCCTCTAGCCTCTTTACAGGGAGTTCTGCTGAAGGGTTCCATACGGGGCCTGTACTCTGGGTCAAATGATGATCCAGCGGACCCCGGGTAGTCTCCTAGATTACTATTTTTTGAAAATCCATGAAACTGTGGCAAATCAAATTCAATAGACTTTGTTCATTCAATTTTTTCCCTCAGGAAAAGCTCCAGGAAGCTGTGGCAAAATTAAAAGGCATCCACACTGAATGTATGAATCAGAAAACACACGTGACAACCCAGATAACTGAGTGGCAGGTAAGATTCTGAGATCCTTGGTCTGTTTATTTCCCATTCTCTTACATAGGCACAGGGAGAAACTAGGGTGAAGCACAAACCTCAAGAAGAAAAGTGGGTTTTGCACTCCTTTACATGCATGCGATTCCACCATCAAACTTCTAACTTCCTAACTCCTATTAACTAGGAATCCTGATAACTTATCCAGCCGAAGTAGAATTGAGTTGTCTGTTTGCCTAAAAATAGCTACTTGGATTTGACATGTGACCTGTATTTTCTGGTGCACAGACTTTAAACTAATCCCCCCATTTCATTTACCAAGTACACCTCTGGCTTTCAGCCTTACAGGTAGAAAAACTGCCTCTCAGAGCATTGAGACAGCAGGTTTCCCAGGGTAGGCTGATAAAGGAGCCACTGTGAGTGATAAGGAGTGTAGTAGCTGGTAAGAGAACCTACCGCCTTCCACCTGCAGGCCAAACGCTTCCAGACTTCCATGGCTTCCCAGGCTCCACAGCATCAGAGATGCATTGCTTTGTGAAAGTACTTTTGGAAGCCTTTACCTGGCCGTCCAAGTGCAGAGGATGGTGAGCCATTCTGTGTGGTCCCGGAGCCTCTCTGCCCTCTGCCTCTTTGAAGGATGGAGGTTTATTCAGAACTTCCGGGGGACAGTCTTAGCTTTCACATTGCTGGGACCTTGAATAGGTGACAACACGGAGTGTAACTAACATGTAAGAAAAGGTGTTCCGTACAAAAGTTAAACAATCACCAGTCTAACAAACAAAACTTCTTGTTCTTGCTAAATTGATTGAATTCCAGCACAATTTCATAGTCATTGCAGTGGTGCAGATATTTCAGGGTACTCCTAAAAATTGCAATTCTACAAATACTCAAATAACAGTTAAGTCTCATGAGATGCATCTTTTATTTCTGGCATTTCCTACATAGGAATGGAAAAGGGACCCCAACAGTGTGAGAACATTTCTGAGTAAGCACTGACACATCCCTAGCTCACTGATACCTCACAATGTCAGGAATCAGGGCATCTCCTACCAGCCTGGGTGCTAAGAAAGAGCCAAGGGGTCAGAGTCAGTCTCTCCAGTGTCTCAGTGCTCTCTGGAAACTTCAGTCTTCCAGTTGAGTGACTTACGGGAGCATTACAGCACAGCGACAGAACATGCTTCACTTGGTGTGTGGCCAAATAGGCATGACATACACTTTGTCACTTTTACTATTTTAAGTGTGCAGTTCAGGGACTGCACTCCTTTCCCAAAGTTGCAGAACCATCGCTCTACTCACCTCACAAGTTGTTTCTTCTATCAAAATGTAAATCTGTGCCCATCAAACCTGAACTCATTCTCCTCTCCTCATAACCACCTGGTCAGTACTATTTTGTTTTCCATATCTATGAATGTAACTCTTTAGGTGCTGCATAGAAGTGAGATCTATACTGTTGGCCCCCTTGTTTCAGGGTCATTTGCCTCAGCAGAAAGTCCTCAGGGTTTATCCCTGAAGGATGGGAAAGATTTCCATTCTTTTCTAGGTTGGGAAAGACTCCACCCTATCTGCAGCTGACATCTTGTTCATCCATTCAGTCATCATGGACTCCTCATTTGTTTGCACGTATGACTTTACTTTCTTTGTTCTAGAAAGAGATAGCTATTTGGAAACAAAAAGTGAAGTTGGACTTTGAGACTCTCCACGCTTTTCTCCATGAGGAGGAGAAGTTGTGGATCTGGAGACTGGAGAATGAAGAAGAGCAGATGCTGAGGAGACTGCGGGAATACGAGGCCGACCTGCAGTGGAAGAGCGAGGAAATCAAGAGCCACATCCAGGAGCTGGAGGCAAAGTGTCAGAGCTCAGCCCAGAAGCTGCTGCAGGTGAGGCCGTGGCCTTGGAGAAGGACAGGAGGATTCTGAGGAGTGTGGGAGGAGGCAGCGGGAGAATGGCTCAGCCTGCTTCATTCCCAAGTGGGCACTTGTGCTGGGATTTAAGTAGTATCTCCCCAAGTCTATCCCTGAGCACCATCAGGGTGGCCCCACTGGCCTATGGGGTCCCTCATGTGAACTATAAATCACATTTCTCCACAGAATGGGGCTCCAGTCCTGGAATCCCAGTTATTTGTGAGGCTCAGGCTGGGCAGCACAAATATGAGGTTGATTTAGTGTATCTCAAATTAAAGGTGAAAAGCATTCCTGGATGCAGGTCAGTAGTAAAGCACTCTCCTAGTGTGGGCAAGATCCTGAGTAGAATACATAACACTGAAGGAAAAATGGGTTTGCCAGGTAGATGAACATAGAATGAGCACTTAGACCCATGGAAGAGCTTTGGCCATTATTTCCCCATGACCCACTAGTAGGTCCTTGCTGTCAGTCTCTGGCTGAGTGCCAGTCTGGGTGAAATATTTATCCTGATGTCGTGCAGTGACAGGGAGACTGCCACAGGGAGGAGCAACCTTTTCCTTGATATGCTGGTGCATCCTTGCACCTGGAGCTACTGTGGGGCTTCCTACAGCTGCATGAAGGGGCATCTCAGTAGCTAAACAGCAGCAGCTGTTCATTCTGGCTTCCACTAGTAGGACTGAAGTCACTCTTGATTCAGAAGGAGGCACAGCTCCTCTGCCACCACCTCTGGAGCTTCACATCCAGTCACTGTTCATTACCTTGGCTGCAAGTGAATTGTAACATAGGCTTGCTCTACTGGGCATCTGGTCCTTGAGAGCCAGTTGTATCAAAGCATGGCTGGGAAAATATCAGGCTGGGTAGCAGAAGCCACAAGTGGATGCCACTTCAGCCAACACAGCCTCCTGCCCAGTAGGCAGAGGCCAGGTGGAATCCTTGCTCCTGACTGCTGCACTGTCTCAGGCTGCGCCCCTCTTTCCTTGTTGGGGAGCTGTGTTCACAGGCAGCGTCTCCATGCCACAACCCATGGAGTCCTGATGCTAACATGTTCCTCTTTTGTTCCTTACAGGATGTGGAAGGCACCTTGAGCAGGTGAGTCCTGTGTGAGTGGGGGAAGGGAGGGTCCTGGTGGGCAGAGCAGAATTGAAAGGAGCACTGAGGAGGCTCTGCCTCTGCTTCTTCCAGGGCTAGTGCTGTGAAGCTGGAAACTCCCGAGGTCCTTTCCTTGGAGGTCCAAACTGAGTGTGATGTTGCTGAACTTTACTTGGATGTGAAGGCGATGTTAAGATCCCATCAAGGTATGACAGAGACCCAGGCTCAGTGCTGTGACAGCAGGGATCACAGGCAGTCTGCACAGTCTACCACTCTGGGCACCTGGAGCAAATGGATATTTGTAGCAGAGCTGACTCACTCTGCCTGTGCTCAGAGGATGAACGTGCACCGCATCCTGCTCTCCTGTGGACCTTCCAGGTCCTGCTGTCTGCCTAGTGACTCTGTTATTCAAGGCTTCTCCCAACACTCAGATTCCATGTCTGAGAAATGAGCCTGTTCTCAGTTTCCCTTCCATGGAGTTGTGCTGCAAATGCCCTCCATTCACTCACAGGAACTTCTAGCACTTGTCTGGCAGGTGAAGAGCCCCGCATGTGGTGGTAGATGTGCCTCTGAGGCTTCTCGTGGACACTTCACATTCTGACAGAAGTGCAAAAAAGAGAGTGAGCACAGTGGGTCATTTTTAATATTAGAGACCAGACTGAGATAGTATGGGTGAATTTTAGAAACATTAGAGGTTCATTAATCCAAAGCCCACACTTACTGTCTCTTCTTGTGGTAGTTATTACTGCCTATACTTCCAATAATTCTTTTACAAAAGGACAAAATTTAAAAAATGGTGATAATGGAAACTGTTATCATGTTGAATGTGGCTGGACTATGTCGATTAACCTGAAATGATTTTGATTCTACATGAGTCATCTGTTGCCCCTTAAAAATATCCAAAATTATCTGAAGCTATATAGATCTATTATCTAGCAGTCTCTGTGAGTCAGGAATCGGAGCACACCTCTGTGAGCAGTAGCGGCGAGCTCAGCTTAGTATCTCTGGGGGAGCAGTCAGGTGCGGCCAGGCTGTGTCCTCACCCAGACATTCATTGGGAAGGCCCCTCCCTCACTCTCTCACTGGCAGGATTCATTCCCCTGGGGTTGCACTATGTGGGGCCCTGACTTCCTGCTGGCTGTGGCTCCAGCCTGGCCTGGCTCCAGGGTCTCTAATCGCTCCTTTCCACTGGGTGTGCACATGACTAAGTATTTCTTCAGCATGAGCTCAGGAGAAGGAGTCTCTATAACAAATGCGCTGGCAATATTTAGTGTGTATAAACAATGAATGGTGTGTAAATAAGGATTTGTCATCACAGGAATTACATCCCACTGTCTTGATCCTATTCTGCTGGTCAGAAGCCATGCTCTGGCCCTGCCCACTCTGGAAGGGAAGGAATTTTACAAGGATATGAACACCAATGAACTGAAACCAAGGAGAAGTCTGTCTGTTCCAGGCGATTTCTCCAAGCTGCATATTAATGAGGGCATTTCAAGTCCTACTTATACCATGCTTGTTGCTGTTGTTGTACTTGTTCTTCTTCATCTTTGTCTTTGTCTTCTTCGTCTTCTTTTTCCTCTTCTTTTGAGACAGGGTCTCACTATGCAGTTCAAGCTGGCCTTGAACTCAAAGAAATCCTCCTTCCTTAGCCTCCTGAGTGCTGGAATTACACACAGGCATCCCCATATGCGGGCAACCCTATGTACTTTATTTACATATACATTACTACAAAATATTGATGCTTTTGGCCACAGGATTCCCTGGTAGTCCTTGCAGAGACAGCATGGAATTTAGTGAACAGCACTTTAAATGGAAATTGCTAAAGTTTGGGGTCCACATTGTAATGTGCCTAGCACCCAGGGAAAGTGAACTTGTACCTCTCCACCCTCTTGCGGTGTTTAGTTTATAATGGTTTTACGTGAGTTGGATTTGAAGCGGTGCCTCACAGTGTACTTATTTCCAGTTTCACTAGTGAGTATGAAGATTTCTTTGTTTCATTTGCTTTTTATGTGTTTGCTTCACACTTTTTGTATGTTTTCTAGCTCTTCAGCCTTCTGTTACTTAACTCTGATGACTGTAGGTTACTGATTTGATTGCTTTTTTACTGACCCCTGGGAGATTAATTTAGCCAGTATCTTCTCCTGGCTTGTCAGTGACATTTTTCTTTCTCTTTTTATACAGTGCTTTCAAATTTAGGATAGACATAGTGTGCTTTGAAGTTGGTGACTTTTGTTTTCTAAGAGCCCACTCATCTCTGAGCACTGACTTTTACGCTGGGAAAGAAAAGAGAAAAAGTATTCATATCCAAAGTTAAAGGAAGGAAATTTTATTATCAGAACACAAGTAGAATGGCCAGCCAAGTAGTTCAGCAGATTAAAGCACCTGCAAGCAGGCGCAGGGGCCAGGGATTTGATCCCCGGGCCTGCCATGCTGGCCCCCTCCTCAAGGGCGTGCTGAGATGGCAATTAATACTGGGTGTAGTGGCACACACCTGTAATCCCACCTCTTGGGAGGCTGTAAACAGGTGGATCACTGTGAGTCCCATCTAGTAGCGAGCCCCTGAACACCCTGTAGATCCTTCCCTAAAATAAAAAATAAAAATAAAATAAAATAAAATAAAATAAAATAAAATAAAATAAAATAAAGACAAAAATTTAATGGGCTTGTCAGATTGCTTAGTAGAATAAGTGCTTGCCTGGCAAGCACAAGGTCCTGAGTTCAACCCCAGATACAGCAAAAAATAGAGAAATAAAATAAAAAGAACACAAATAAAATTGAAGCTGAAAAACAAAACATTTATTATTGTCAAAACTTTAAGGTATGTTAGGTTATTTATTGGGGTTCATTGTATTTTTCTTTTGTGGGCAATCAGAGCTGTAAACCTCTCTGTTACAGCTGTGTTCATTGTGTCCAGTTGGTCCTGTTATGCCATACTGGCATTAGTGTTTGCTTGTAGGAACTGTCTAACTTCTTCACTGATTTGTTCTGTGAGTACTGATCATTCAAGAGTGCATTCTTTACACACTTGCAGAGTGTCTGTGGCTTCATCTGTCATGGATTTCTAGTTTCATTGCACTCTGACCTGATAGTACACATGCAGTCATTAGAAATATTTAAGTCTGGGTTACAGGCCAGAATTTGATCTCTTTTAGACAGTCCATGTGCCACAGGGAGAATGTGCACTCTGCTGCTGAATCCAAGTGTAACATTTTACAGATATCCATTAAGTCCATTTCTTCAAAGGTGTGGTGCAACTCTGATATTTCTCTGTACAATTTTTTCTGGCCAATTGATCAGTCTGTGACACTGAAGCATGGCCATCCCCCACAATAACTGTGTTGATGTTTATCTGGTCTTTTATGTTCATAGCATTTGCTTTGTTTTTTAGGTGCACCAGTGTTCAGTGCCTCTATAGCTCTAATGGTTTTCTCATCTTGTTTCTGGTTTCTTCTTGTATGCATATATTGTTATGAAATAGAGATGGGGAAAAGCCCGCTTCAGCTCCACTATTTTCTGATCCCTGGGGACCTACAGGAAAGCAGTCAGCTTTTGGACAAGCAGGGACCATATTCAGATTGGTTACTTCTAGCCTTTGGCATCCCTGGAAAGTGCAGATTGGCTTTTGGTCATGTTATTACAATTCCCTATTAGCTTCCTACTATAGAAGGAATTTTACTAGGTGATAGGCAAACATAACTTGCTAGATTCTTGCATGAATCACTATACCAGATGTGATGATTTTTACTTTACTGTAGGCTTAAATAGCTAGTTAGGCACAAGAATTGGATTTTGAAAACAGGCTGGTATAATTTAAAAATCATGGTCTTATTACCACCCTGAAAATGTTCATTTTTCTTTATATTATAGTCAGTGTGACTCTGGACCCAGGTACAGCTCATCCTGCCCTAACTCTATCTGAGGATGCGAGACACGTGTCCCATGGATCCAGCCAGCAGAACCTTACAGTTTCATCCAGGAGATTTACGACTTTCCCCTGTGTCCTGGGCTGTGAGGGCTTCAGCTCAGGAAGACACTACTTCGAAGTGGATGTTGGAGAAGGAACAGCTTGGGATGTGGGAGTCTGTATGGAGAATGTGCAGCGAGACCTTGGCATGAAGCAGGAGCCCGAGAGTGGGTTCTGGGCCATCAGGCTGTGCACAGGAAATGGCTATGTAGCCCTGACCTCTCCTCCTACTGCCCTTGAGCTGTGTGAACGACCCCTGGTGGTGGGGGTTGCTCTGGACTATGAGGCTGGAGCTGTGTCCTTTTACAGCATGACCTCTGGCTCCCACATCTTCACCTTCCCCAAGGCTTCCTTCTCTGGTACTCTGCGGCCTTTTTTCCAAGTTTATCAAAATTCACCTTTGTTCCTGCCTTCATGCAATGAGTAAGCAAAGAAGGAAAAAAACCTCCCCGTTTTAAACTGACAGAAAATGTATAGAGCCCATAAAGGCAGGATTTTGATCAGTTTTCTTTATTATTAATACGTCAGTACCTAGAACAGGGCTGGACTTTTAGAAGGTATTTAAGAAATTGTTCTTGAATTAATGCCTATGAGAACTGTAAGAATACCATAGATGGCCAGCCTGAGTTGAGAGGGATACACGATTACATGATGATCTGACATCATCCTCTGAATCTCTCTTTAGTGGGTTCAGTTCTCTGAATATTGTTCATGCTGGGTTGATGATTTGTGTGACCTTAAAGCAAAGATATTTGTATGCTTTCACCTTCCTTTTGAGCTGTTTGGACTAGTGTGTGGGAATGAAAGAAAGCCTCTCCAGGAAAGACCAGTGGCTTCCCGAGCATAGACATGTTGATTAATAATGTCCAGTGCAGAGGCTGGCCAGATAGCTTAGCAGACTAAAATGCCTGCTTGGCAGGCACAAGGACCAAGGTTTGATTCCCTGCCTGTCATGCCAGCCCTGCCCCCAGGGCACACTGGGATTGAGACTGGATGTGGTGTCACAGGCTTGTAATCCCAGCACTTGGGAGGCTGAAAGCAGGAGAATCACTACAAGTCCGATCTGTGTAGTGAGACCCTATAGACTCTGTACTAAATACAACAACAACAACAACAACGACAACAACAATATCCAGTACAATCTGTGTCAGACCTACAATTCTGCCAGACCTAGGGAGCTTCCCTGGGAAAACACCAAGGAATCCTAGAGAGAAGAAAAAAAACTTTTTACTGAGACATGCTTCAAATGGAAAACAGAATATGACAAAATGCTATGGTTTGTGTCTGACTGTCCCCCGAAAGCCTCATGCATTCATTGCAGCAGGCTTCTAGAGTTTGTAATTAATTAATGATCCAATACTTGGATTATGGATATGAATGCTATACCCTCCATTAACCTGAATACAATATAAGGAGGTAGAGAAGCTTGCTAGCAGCCAGAGCCAGTGCTCCTCCCTTTGCTCTTTGCTGTTTTCTACTGTCATGAACTGCTGCCCTCTGCTGTCCACCACTATGCTTTTGAGCCAGCCAAGTATGGACTGAAACCTCAACTAACTATGAGCTAAATAAAGCTTTCTTTCCTTAATTTTCATTGTTGGTTATTTTGTCTCAGCAACAAGAGAAAACTAAACAAGACAGAATTTGGTACCAACAAGGAGATCATTGCTGTGACTATACCTGACCATGTCATTCAAGAGCCTTTGGCAATGGCTTAGTGGAAGAGATAGAAAAGATTTGGAGATGTTTTCTGAAAGAGAAGCACTGGAACACCTTTGACTGTTCTAGTGGAGATTCTGTTTAGAGATCAGATGCCAGAATGCTGATAGAAATCTGCCCATAAAGAACAGGCTGGGTAGGTTTCTGCTGGTAAGTACTGCACTGGTTTTTGGGCTCCAGATGATGTGCATTATGCCCTGGAAGAAAGTTTGCCTGAATGTTGCTCATGTCCAGAGATTTGGCCTGAAACTCAGATTAAGCATAATGGACTGATTGGTCTTGCAGAAGAAATTTTAAGGCAGTAGAATGTTGAAGCAGTGCCATGACTATTGGGGGCTTTTAGTCAGATTTATGTTGAGAATCAAGAACAAAGAACCCAGTGAGGTAATGTATTATATTTTATTTTACTTTTTATGTATTTGGTACAGATTCTCATTATGCAGCTCAGACTCATAGTGATCCTCCTATTTTCAGCCTCCCCAACACTGGAATTACAGGCATGCATCACCGTGCCTGGGCTCAGTTGCCAGCTCAGAGCACCCAGGGGTGGGGCCAGTGTGGCATGTGGTGCTGGGGATGGAACCCTAATCCATTCACTTGCCTAGACAGGTGCTTAGTCCACTGAGCTATTTTACCTCTCACTGGCCCTCCAGTGGTATGTTTTAATATGCTGTGAGTTTGGCCAGAAAGGAAGTGCCAATAATGTGGAGGGTTGCAAAGGTAGAGCTGAGAGGAACTACACTTTTGAGGAGGAACAGGAGAATAGTGAAGGTGGCCTGAGTGCATGCAAGTCTCCACCCTTTGCAGCCTTAAAACTGCAGACCTGGAGCACTTGTCTTGGAGGAGAAAGCTGCAGAGCACCAGGTTCCACAATGGCAGTAGCATAGAGAATTTGCACTTTGGAATCAGGGTGAGAATGCTCATCAACCCTGGCTCTCAACCCCTACAGTCAGAAAAGAAGAAAGCCTGGCTGCTGCTCTAGGAATATGAGCAGTAGACCTTGGCATCATCCATGTGGCATCACTTTTAGACCCATGCAGAATGTAAGAGTTCTGAAGTTAAGAAGGCTTACACTTAGAATTTAGAAGATGACATGGGGGGCCAGGTAGTGTGCCCTTGAGAGGGCAGTGTGTAAAGCTGTGAGTGAGAAGCCTACATGCAATGGAGGCCCCAGAAGTTTGGAGATGCCAGGAATGTGTATCATCTAGGGAAAGTTGCAAGGAGAGAGCAAAGCAGGCCTAAGAGAGAAGCCATGGGAGCTACCACTAAAAGTGTCACAGAAGTAGAGCTACATGGAGCTCACAATTTTCCGCAGATTGCTTCCATAAGGACCTACAGGACTTAATGTGCGCTGTTCTGGATTTTGAACTTGCTTTTGTACCAATACTTTATATCCTGCTGTTTGTACCTTTTGGAGTGATAACGTTTTTCTTGTGCCATTGAGTATTGGAAGTGTTTAACTTTTTCTTTGTACAGGGGCTCACAGCTCAGAGTTTGCCTTTGATCTTGGAGGAAACTTGTGACTTGGACTTTTCAGCAATGCTGAAACTGTTAGGATGTTGGCAACTCTTAAAACTTAACTTGGGCTGGTCAAATAGCTCAGCGGATTAAAGTGCTTGCAAGTAGGAGTAGGGGCAAGGGGTTTGATCCTCAGGCCAGCTGTGCCAGCCCTGCCCCTGGGGCACACTAAGACCAAAACTGAGCCTGGATATGGTGCCACGTGCCTGCAATCTGAGCACTTGGGAGGCTATAAATGGGAGGATCACTATGAGTCTAATGGAGTAGTGAGACTGAACACTCTTTAGACCCTTCCCTAAAAATACAGAAGAAAAAAGAACTAAAATGCCATTTGCATAAAGATATATGCATGAGTTTTTGAGGGTCCAGGGGCAGAATGTTATGGTTTGTATCTATCCCCCTCCTACCCTGAAGGCCTCATGCAGTCCCTGGGGCAGCTTCTAGAGTTTGTGATTAATTCATGATTCAGTGCTGGCATTATGGGCGTGAGTGCTACACCCTACATTGGGCAGACAGCCTGAATACAATATGGGGAGTGGAGAGAGGCTTGCTGTTTTTTGTCTTCCACTGCCATGAACAGCTGCCCTATGCTATGCATCATTCTGCCTTGGAGCCAGCTGAGTACAGACTAAAATCACCACTAACTGTGAGCTAAAGAAATGTTTCCTTTCCTAATTTTGGGTGTTGTGTATTTTGTCCCAACAATGAGAGAAAAGTAACTGAGATATTAAGTAATTGACCTTCATAGGACACTTAATTATGGAAAAGATAAAGAAGCATTTTACAGATCGTACTACAGCTAGCTCTTTTGAAATACATTTGCAGAGCTTTTCAGGAAGCTGTGTCCCAGTACTGAACCCCCAAGCTATTTATGTTCCATTATTCTGCCAGCCTGATTCCTCTTGGTTTTAAAAAGTAAAGTCTGCTCATTGCTAAGCACATGTTCCAGCTGCCTACCATGGAGCATGGATGCAGCCTGTACTCCTAAGGGCCAGGAGAAGCGCCAGCAAGCTTGGTTGTTTGGGGTGGGAGTGCTAACATTCCCAACCATTTTGAGATTATAAAAAGTAAAAATGAGGTCATATATAGGACACAATTACAATAATGACAAAACACACTGTATTATTCTAGATCTGTCCATGTCCAAGTAAGGAGAGAATAAGAGGGTGTGCAGGTTTCTGACTATCTCCTGCCCTTCCACTAAAGGCTCCCTAAGATCTAACTTCTAGTGAATATCTAAACCCTAGAACTTCTGGGGAATGTGAGTATTGGCTGTTGAATTAACTGTCCTGCCCACTTTCAGAACTGATTATTTATTTCTTATTGATTGGAGTAGAAGAAAAGTCTGAGTGACAACAGAACAGTTACATTTGTGCCATGTATCTAGTAGATGGGGAGGGCAGAGGATTCCTATCTCATAGGGTCTGCACTCTGTTCACATATTCTTTTCTTTTCTTAGACACATAGACTATATTTTTGTGGATTCAATGATATGTAAACATATGTCTTCATAATTACAATTGCTAAGACCCCACATAAAGTCCTTTTACTTTTGTAGCTTAGGAGGTTGGACTGATAGACAGTCTCCCATCATCCTATCTGTTTCCAAATACAGTTTTCCAAGAAAGAGGAAGGATTTCTAACATTGACACAGCCTGGAGAATTCTGCTCAGAAGATACAGTACTTATCTTTATACCCTTATATTGGTATCTAAAATAAACACTTTTATAGAAAATAAAAGTGTTCCCTTCCTTTCAGAAAACAAAGAGGATAACTCCATGGGGACAAAATGAAGGATGCAATAGGGATAAAATGAGATGCTGAGTTGCAGTAAGTTAAAGGAAGAATAATAATGCTTGTTTGTCTAAAATCATTTACTATAGGAAGGATCTTAGCTAAGCCCATCCCTTTTCTGGTCCTGAGCACTCCAGAAATGTAGGGATTCCCTTTCAGATATGAGAATAAACAGTTGACACCAGTGTGTGTGACTCATCCTACACCAGCAGATCTGGACCACCACACCACCTTGGACCCTCTTGGATACTCAGTGACCTACTCGCAACCAACCTGTCAAATTAAGAGACACAGGTGACAGGTTTCAGTGGAGTACTGACAACCCACAGCTCTGGAGTGACACTGGAGAGATCATTCCAGCTTGTTACAAAAGACCTGTTTCTTGGCCTTGCCTGGAATCTCTCCCACCCAAATGAACCCTAAGTTTAACATTGGCCTGTTGCTCCTCCATGCTCCCTTCCTGAGAGCCCTGCATGTGTGAGCCTGGGCCAGGCCTCAGGCTGCAGGACATGAAGCAGGGAGGTACCAAGACTGGGGATGTCCCCAGCTGGAGCAGGGCAGGATGTGGGACCTGTAGGACAGAAGAACCAGGCAGGAGATTAGAGATTATAATGGCCCATGCTGAGAAGCTGTGTGCTGAGGAGGCCAAGCACAGGATGGAAGGAGCTGTGGCTGAGTCACCTCCCATCTCTGGAGGACATTCTCCCTCCATTAGAGAGGTCTGCAGTAATGGCCACCTCTAGTTAGTTTAACTCAGAATCCACTTATGTTTTTATACACCAGCATACATGTTGGTGGTAGGGGCTGGGATTCTGGAATTTCACACTCAGGTCCTAGGCAAGAAATGAAAAGTTTTACACACCTATCAGGTTA